GGGGGGGAACAAACACACAGACACAAGTTATCGTCGATTCCCAAGAAAATATGGGAAAACATGGGGATTGGGGGGGGGGAAGACAAAAACCCAGAGAATATGGGCAAATGTGGGGCATCCTTTTATTTGTGGGTATCTGTCTGTGTGTCCCAGGGCCCCTTCACAAGGGCCGGCTGCACGCCAGCGCGGCCCTGGGTGAGAGTTGCCCTCGGCGCGCGGGCCCGCCGATCGCCGGCGATGCGACAATGGCGGCCTTCGGGGCCCAGGAGACGGGGGCCAGTGCAAACGGGGGTCAGCCAGGGCACCGGATCCTGCAGGGCCCTGCGAAGACCCCCTCCGGCTGACCCGCGGGCTAGCGAGCCGCTCGTGGCCGCGAGGCGGCCGTCGCAGATTGGCTGACCCGGGCTTGCGAAGACCTGCGTTGCAGTTTTTCTTTTCTGCATTGCAGTTTTTTCGGGGGGGGGGCATCTTTCCTCCGCCCTCCATCCTCCTCCTCCTCCTCCTCCTCCTCCTCCTCCTCCTCCTCCTCTTCCTCTTCCTTATCCTTCTCCTCCTCGTCCTCCTTCTCCTCCTCCTCCTCCTCCTCCTCCTCCTCCTTTTGGTTCTGGATTGGCCCGGGTCGGAAGATCCCCGAGGCGTGCGCCCCTGGCTTTGGCCCCCCCCGGCGCCCTCCGCATGCCGCGCGCCAGAGGTCCCTTTGGCGAAGGTGTCTCCGCAACAAGTGCCGCGCGAGGGCGCGAAGATGCCGGGCGCTTCCTGCGCGGCGCGGGGCGCGGCTTTTGCTCGGGCCGCTCGCGCTGCAGTCAGGAGGGGAGGAAACACACAGACACGATGAATCGTCGACTCCCAGGAGAATATGGGAAAAGATGGGAAGTGGGGGGGGAGACAGACACCCAGAAGATATGGGAAAACATAATTAGGGAATCTTTTCATTCGTGTGTATGTATTTGTGTGTCCTGGGGCCCCTTCATGCAAGCCAGCCGAGCAGTCCTAGCGTTGCCTTGGTGACGCTAACGTCACTGGCTTCGAAGACTCCCGCGGCGCCCCCCCCCCCCTTCGCGGGCGGAGGGGGGACGAGGATGAGAAGGAGGGATGAGGAAGGAGGAACGAGTGGTGGAGGAGAAGGAGGAGGGATGAGGGATGAGGGATGAGGGAGGAGGGAGGAGAGAGGAGGAGGATGACAAGGAGGAGGACGAGGAATAGGACGAGGAGGAGGAGGAGGAGGAGGAGGAGGATGAGGAGGGGGGAGGGGGGAGTAGGAGGGAGGAGAGCAGGACCGAGAAAAGGGTGAGGAAGGGAGGGTAGGAAGAATGGAAGGGACATGATTGATGAGGGTGAAGAGGACGGATGGAGAGGAGGAGGAAGAGGAGGAGGAGGACGAGGAGGAGGAGGAGAAGGAGGAGGAGGAGGAGGAGGAGGAGGAGGGCGGGAATCAGCAGAAGGAGAAGGCGGAGTTGCAGGAGGAGGGGCAGGAGGAACGACGAAGGAGGAGGAAGGGAGACCGAGGGATCCTCCCCATTCGCCTCGGCCTCCCCACCCGCCGCTTGCTGCCGCTGCTCTTGCGCCTCGGCAGAGGACGACCCCGCCGAGTTGCGCTGTCGCTGTGATGCCCGCTCCCACCGTGCCTTCTCCGAAACTGCGCTGGGGAGGAGGGCGGGTCGAAGAAAAACAAACAGATAGACAGACATAAACTTCAGGAGCAACGCGCGGATCCCTTGGACCAGCACCGCGGCCCCCCCGGGCGGCGCCTCCAGCGCCGCCCCCTGCGCGCTTCGCGTGACAGGGAGGGGCGGGGTCCAGCGCCGATCCAAGAGATCCGCGCGGACCTGCCACAGTATGTTCATGCAGTTGTGTGTTCCTCAAGCCTTGCCTTCTCTCAAGCTGCGCTGGTGAGGAGAGTGAAGCGGAGCGCGGCTTCATCACTATCCTCATCGTCAGCTGCAGGCGCAGGCTCTTGCCTGCTCAGGCTCTTGCTCGGGCAGCGGCCGCTCGTTTGCGCCCCCTCGCTCCCATGGTGTCCTGTCTCGAGACTGAGGCGAAGCTGAATCTCCACATCTGCCTCTGCCCCGTCGTCGGCCCGACCACTGCGAAGGGTTTCGTGCTGGAGCTGTTTCCGCACGCGTGGACGGCTCTGTCATGGTTCGTGGCTTTCGACCACGGGCACAGTAGGACGAATGGAGAGTGGCATGGGCCAGATACGTAGAGTCCCTGGCCCGCAGCTGGACTGGCGGGGGCTCACACTAGGGTTCAGGCTCTAGCGGTGACGTCTTATTGTCTTGGTCGTGCGGCTGTCGGCACCGAGCATCCGGGTAGCGCTGCGCTTGCAGAGCAGCATGGTGTTGCTGGGCTTCCAGCTGGGCTGCCTGCTGGTAGTCTTGATGATGATGTTACTTACGCAACGTTTCAGGCGGGTCTTGCTCGTGATTGCGGTATTGATCCTGGTCGTTCTGCTGGACCGGGTTCTCAATTTTACCGTGGTCAGGAGCCTGCTCCAAAGAAGATGAATTTCCACAGCAATATTTGGATGCGCGATGCGTTGGAGAGTGTCTCATCGGAGCTTGGGCCCATGATCGAAGGTACTCAGAGGCAGGCGTTCTCCTTGATTGCAGCTGCTGCCCGCCCGCGACTAGCGCAGGCATTTCTGGGCAGTCGCCAGTGCGAGTCGACAGCCACGCCAGGGCTGACGTGCTCGACAGGCTGCCGATCTGATGGATGAGGCCAAGGCTGACATTGCTATATAAGAATATTCGGCTTGGTCCGTCAAGTAAAGATTCCTGTGCAGCTTCCGCCCGCCAACTGATTGAAGCTAGTGTCGATGCTTCGTCCACGTACGAATTCGGGTTTCGAACGCATTTCAACAAGTGTACATCTTCTTGGCGCCTCTGCTGTTGATGCAATTATGGTATCGTCTGCCACGTGCGCTTGGCCATGTGGTCGGTGTGCGTTTCCCCTCCTCCCTTTCCTCGTTCTTCCCCCCCTCCTCCTCGTCCTTCACCCTGATGCGCGAATCGCTCTGTTTCATTGAATCGCACGTCTTCTTTGCGTACTCTTCAGCAAGTCATGTAAGAAATGGGTGCATGTGGCAAGGATTCCATGCCGTGGAGCATGAGACCGTCAGCAGCAGCAGCAACATCCATTACCATTATCACCATCATAACCACAATCATCATCGCCATCGCCATCATCATCAGCATCACCATGATCGTCAGCATCATCATAATTTTTCATGACGATCATCATTGTGATCATGACCGCCACCATCCCCCATCATCCTTATCATCAGCAGCATCATCATCATCATCGTCATCACCACCATCACCATCATAGTCACCATCACCATCACCATCACCACCACCACCACATCATCGTCACCATCACCCTCCTCCTCCTCCTCCTCATCATGCTGATCATGCTCATCATCATTATCTTGATCTTGATCTTCGTCTTCATCTTTATCTTCATCATGCCCACCACCATCCGCATCACAATGATTCTTGTACTCGTCGTCACTGGCGCGGCCCCTTGCTGCAGGCTGGCGACACGCAGAAGGCCATGAGGAACTTGCAGGAGATGACCCGGTTCTTCGGCAACCGCAGGTGGCGCGTTCCAGGAAGGGTATGGCCCCCGAGGATCGAGGCAGTTGGCACCTCTTCCGCGGCGGAAGGTCCGCGGAAGGTCAGCGGGCGGAGAACAAGCGAGGCCGGCTCCGACGGCGGAGGCCGGCGGACAACATGCGCTGCCAAGAGATTCACCACCTACCAAACCACCCCAGCCCAACCCGAAGGCCTCAATTTGCCCTCCATTTCCAGTGGGGGGGGTGTCGGGGAACATCAAAAAAGCACGTGTGGAACCCTTACCCCCCCCAACCCGAAGTTCGGGTCTTCGGGTTGGGTTGGGGTGGTCTGGTAGGTAGTCAGAGATGGCAACGTTTTTGGGCGCAGGGTTTCGAGGACCTGTCGGCCAGGTACGGGCCCTACAAGGCCTGCCGCGGGCACGCCGCCGAAGACGTCCTCGGCTTCGTGTGCGAGGAGGAGCTCACCGGCTGGCAGGACGCGGCGCCCTGCTGCCGCCGCCGGTGCCGCTCTCCTGCTCTCCTGCCGCCGTGCCTCGGAGCGCCTCTCCTGCTCCTCTGCCGGAGAGGGCGCTGCGCACGGTGCGGAGCTGGGCTCTGTGGAGGGCGCTGCTCGCGAGGCTTCCTGGCATCGCTCGGGCGTGTGCGTTTTTTCCTCGGCGAGGACCATCGAGGAGCATCCTGGACCATTTGCCGAAAAAACCACGCACGAAACCGAAAACAAAAACACAGGGAATGGACGTCCGAGCGATGGCCAGGATTGTGCGGAGGCGCGGAGCTCAATGCTCTCATCAAGCATCTTCCAGATGGGAGTCTGAAGTGTTCTAGCACCTATGTAAGAATATCCGGATTCCAGGGTAGACACAACGGCGTACGGCGCCGACGACACTTGTTTTATGGCTGCTCCTTTCTCATGTTGGCAGACCTGGGAGCCAGCGCGAGAGCGCGAAGTTATTCGCGCTTCGCGCTTCGCGCTTCGCGCTTCGCGCTTCGCGCAGCGCGAAGTGCGAAGTTAGGCGCCCGAGCGACGCAGAGGAATGGGTTCGATTGCGCGGACGTTCGCGCGTAAGTTGCCCGCGTAAGGTCGCGCGTTGGCGTCCTCGTTTCCAGTGTGGCGTGCCGCGCCGGCGGCCCGCGTAAGCCACCGCGTAAGGGCGCCATGCCATCTCGTGCAAGATCCGTTGATTTTCTTCGCTCAGGTGTTCCATGTGGTAAGGCTTCGGGCTGCGCGCAGATGGCCGCCCAGGTAGTCCCCGCTGGCCTCAGCAGGCCCCCTGAGTAGGCCAGGGCGGTCCCAACACTGGCGCTGCCGCCGGCGGCGCTCCGTTCGGGTGTTGAGGCCGCCCTGGACTACTCGGGGGACCTCTTGAGGCCAGCTAGGACTGCCTAGGGGGGAGGGGCTGTCCGGGCGTGTCCGAAGCCTTTAACCATGTCCCCAGGATTCCCGTGGAGGCCCAGCTGGCCTCCGGAGCACCTCTCACGAGGCCCAGAGGGCTCCCAGGGGCTCTCAGACGGGGCGAAACGCTGGGGGCGCCTTGGGCCAGGACCACCTCTAGCAGCACCCAGCCAGAGTGGAGATCGTACGCGGATCTGATACCATGACGCTGACGGATGACGATAACGATGACGATGACGTCATCGTCGTCGTCATCGTCATCGTCATCGTCATCGTCATCGTCATCGTCATCATCGGGAAGTCCCCACTCCATCCGCGTACGATCTCCGCGGCCCGCAACCGTTCCCGAGAGATCGTCCTGTTGTTTGATCTCCGTTTTTCGTTCTGTTTGTCCTGTTTTCTTTTCTTGATGCGATTATTTCAATGGTGGAGTTTTTGGGGTGTTTCGTGCTTCTCTGTCACGCTCTGGTCCGCAACTCTGGGGGCCGAAGGTCCACCCAGGTCGGACGTGCGAAATCTGTGGCGCGCAGCTGGTTGCCGCATCCGCAGAGGGGGCACGCTCCTCGATGCGTGGTCTGCTCCAGGGCGCGCAGCTCGGCGGTGTTGTCTGCGGAGCTTTGCGTGGCGCCCTGATCTGAAAATCGTTCGGTGGTCCCGTGCTTCCCTCCTCCTTCCTCCTCCTCCTGCGGCCGTTTTTGTGTTACTTCTGGTCTGGGCCAGGGTTCCAATCAGCGGATGCACGTGACGTCCGTTTTTGGGCAACCACCCCGCCTGCTCTCCCTCCTCCTCGTCCTCCTCGTCTTCTTCCTCCTCCTCCTCCTCCTCCTCCTTCTCCTCCTCCTCCTCCTCCTCCTCCTCCTCCTGGCCAGAGGGCGGGGAAGTGCCGCCAGTGCGGCGCCCCGCGGGGCCGTCGTCGCGGCTGGGTGGACCCTGCAGCCCCCACCAGCCAGCAGACGACGGCGAGGAGGCGGCGGACACAGCGTCGCCGTCGCCGGTGCGGGCGTCGGGCGCGCGCGGGGGGCCGCGCGGGCCGAGCGGGCCGTGAGCCCAGACCGAACTTCTGGTGGCCTTCGGCGTCGTCCAGCGTGCTGGACGGCGCCGTGGGCTTCCTTTGAAGCTGCCCCATCCATCCATCCATCCATCCATCCATCCATCCGTCCATCCATCCATCCATCCATCCATCCATCCATCCATCCATCCATCAATCCTCCTCCTCCTCCTCCTCCTTCCCCCCCTCCTCCTCCTCCTCCTCCTCCTCCTCCTCCTCCTCCTCCTCCTCTTTTGCATGGGAGGGCGGAGCTGCTCCCCCGGGGGTGGGGCTGCCGCCGCTTGTTCTGGCCTCCCGGGCCGGCCGGCGCCTCCGAGGACGTGACTCCGGCGCCGCGGGTGACTTCGGGCCCGCCCCGGGAGGCCTCCTCGCTGCTGGTGCGCACGGACCTCTCGCGCTGGGCGCGCGGAGGGAGGGAGGAGAGGAGGGGAGAGGAGGGAGGGAGGGAGGGAGGAGGGAGGGAGGGAGGGAGGAGAGGAGGACCGGAGGAGGGCGATACACTGCTGCCGCTGCTCGAGGAGGAGGAGGAGGAGGAGGAGGAGGAGGAGGAGGAGGAGGAGGAGGAGGAGGAGGAGGAGGAGGAGGAGGAGGAGAGGAAGGAGGAGGAGGAGGAGGAGGAGGAGGAGGAGGAGGAGGAGGAGAGGAGGAGGAGGAGGAGGAGAGAGGAGGAGGAGGGAGGAGGAAGAGGAGGGGAGGAGGAGGAGGAGGAGGAGGAGGAGGAGGAGGAGGTGGAGGAGGAGGAAGAAGAAGAAGAAGAAGAAGGGGAGGAGGAGGAGGAGGAGGAGGAGGAGGAGGAGGAGGAGGAGGAGGAGGAAGAAGAGGAGGAGGAGGAGGAGGGAGGAGGAGGAGGAGGAGGGAGGAGGAGGAGGAGGAGGTGGAGGAGGAGGAGGGACGAGGAGGAGGAGGAAGAGGAGGAGAAGGAGGAGGAGTGAGGAGGAGGAGGAGGGCGGAGGAGAGGAGAAGGAGGAGAAGGAGGAGGAGGACGAGACGAGGAAGAGGACGAGGAGGAGGTAATGAGCAGGAGGAGGAGGAGGAGGAGGAGGGAGGAGGAGGAGGAGGAGGAGGAGGAGGAGGAGGAGGAGGAGGAGAGGAGGAGGAGGAGGAGGAGGAGGAGGAGGAGGAGGAGGAGGAGGGAGGAGGAGAGAGGAGGAGGAGGAGGAGGGGAGAGGAGGAGGAGAGGAGAAGAAGGGGGAGAAGGAGGAGGAGGACGAGGACGAGGAAGAGGACGAGGAGGAGGATGATGATGATGGATGATGATGATGATGATGATGATGATGATGATGATGATGATGATGATGATGATGATGATGGAAGGAGGAGGAGGAGGAGGAGAGGAGGAGGAGCGGAGGAGCTGGAGAAGAAGGGGGAGGAGGAGGAGATGAGGGAGGAGGAGGAGGAGGAGGGAGGAGGGGGAGGAGGAGAGGAGGAGGAGGAGGAGGAGGAGGAGGAGAGCCGCGATCGCCCGATCCCGCCCCATTTGCCCCACAGGGGGGTCGAGGCGGCGGCCAGCGCTGCCAGGCCAGGCCCGCGATAGGCATCAACATCTTGAACCTGATATGTTTCTCTTGTCCCTGGCGTGGGTCCACGCCGACACCCACGACAAAGACAAGATCCAAATCACCAGCCTGGCACCAGCGGCTTTGTCGGCACCGTATTGGCGCTCGGGCTCTGCTGTGCCGACATAAAGCACGAGAGTTAGTGCAAACACATCACAGTGCACAACAGCCACCGCGACACCTACCACGATTTCGAACAACGGCTGCGTCGTGGCGAACAACGCCGTGCCGACCGCCGAGCAGAGGCCCACCCACGCGACCTGCTGCGCTCTCGAAAGGGCGCGGGATTGGACAGGTAGAAGAACGACCAACGGGCGGCACGATGGGCAGCTGAGCGCCCCGACGCCTACTGGAACAAAGGGTGCAGGAACAACAAATCATAGCCGGAGTGCAGTATCCCCAAACAGGGCTTTTAGACCCACTGCGGTTTCCAAGGTCGATTGCGTGCCCGTCCAGTGCGGGCTGGCATGGCATGTTAAAACATGCCTCCTCCTCCTCCTCCTCCTCCTTCTCCTCCTCCTCCTCCTCCATCTCCTCCTCCACCTCCTCTTCATCCCGAACGGCACCTCGGAGCCCAGAGTTGCGAGGATGTCTCCTGCGTAACGGGCTGGACCACCTCGCGCGCGGCATTTCGGACCACAGAGTTGCGACGATGTCTCGGGCGACACGTGCTGCGAGGAAGTCTCAGGCGAAACGGGCCGGACCACCTCGAGCGCGGCGTCTCAGAGCTCCGAGTTGCGGGGGCCTCCTGGGGCCTCCTGGGACCTCCTGGTGACCTCCTGGGGCTTCCTCCTGGGCCTCCTGTGGCCTCCTGGACCCCACCTGGGGCTTCCTGAAGCCTCTTGGGGCTCCCAGGGGGGGATATCTAACATGTGGCCGTCGGGCCCCCCCCAAATGGGGGGGGGGCCACAAGAGCAGGAAAAGTCAACGAATCGACACCGGATGTGTATTAACTTGACACGTTCTGATAGGGGGCCTCCTGGGGCCTCCTGGGAGCCTCCTGGGAATCTCCTGCGGACCCCTGGGGCCTGTCCTGGGCGTCCTGCGGCCTCCTGAAGCTCTCTGGGGCCTCCTGGGGCTCCCAGGGGGGATATGTGACATGTGGTCTTCTGGGCCCCCAGGCTGGATCACCTCTTGCGCAGCATCTGAGAGCTCAGAGTTGCGAGAATGTCTTGTGCGAAACGGGCCGGACCACCTTGCGCACGGCATCTCAGAGCTCAGAGTTGCGAGGATGTCTCAGGCGAGATGGGCCAGACCACCTCGCGCAGGGCATCTCGGAGCCCAGAGTTGCGAGGATGTCTCCAGCGTAACGGGCTGGACCACCTCGCGCGCGGCATTTCGGACCCCAGAGTTGCGACGATGTCTCGGGCGAAACGTGCTGCGAGGAAGTCTCAGGCGAAACGGGCCGGACCACCTCGAGCGCGGCGTCTCAGAGCTCCGAGTTGCGGGGGCCTCCTGGGGCCTCCTGGGACCTCCTGGTGACCTCCTGGGGCTCCTGGGCCTCCTGTGGCCTCCTGGACCCCACCTGGGGCTTCCTGAAGCCTCTTGGGGCTCCCAGGGGGGGATATCTAACATGTGGCCGTCGGGGCCCCCCAAAATGGGGGGGGGGGGCACAAGAGCAGGAAAAATCAACGAATCGACACCGGATGTGTATTAACTTGACACGTTCTGATAGGGGGCCTCCTGGGGCCTCCTGGGAGCCTCCTGGGAATCTCCTGCGGACCCCTGGGGCCTGTCCTGGGCGTCCTGCGGCCTCCTGAAGCTCTCTGGGGCCTCCTGGGGCTCCCAGGGTCCCAGGGGGGATATGTAACATGTGGTCTTCTGGGCCCCCAGGCTGGATTACCTTTTGCGCAGCATCTGAGAGCTCAGAGTTGGAGAATGTCTTGTGCGAAACGGGCCGGACCACCTTGCGCACGGCATCTCAGAGCTCAGAGTTGCGAGGATGTCTCAGGCGAGATGGGCCGGACCATCTCGCGCAGGGCATCTCCGAGGTTAGATTTCTGAGGATGTCTCAGGCGGGCTCCCAGGGTCCCAGGGAGGATATGTAACATGTGGTCTTCTGGGCCCCCAGGCTGGACCACTTCTTGCGCGGCATCTGGGAGCTCAGAGTTGTGAGAATGTCTTGTGCGAAACGGGACGGACCACCTTGCGCACGGCATCTCAGAGCTCAGAGTTGCGAGGATGTCTCAGGCGAGACGGGCCGGACTATCTCGCGCAAGGCATCTCAGAGCTCAGAAGTTCGAGGATGTCTCAGGCGAAACGGGCCGGACCACCTCTCGCGCGGCATCTCCGTGGTTAGAGTTTCGAGGATGTCTCAGGCGAAACGGGCCGGACCACCTCGCGCAAGGCATCTCAGAGCTCAGAGTTTCGAGGATGGCTCAGGCGAAACGGCCCGGACCACCTCTCGCACGGCACCTCGGGGCTCAGTGTTTTGAGGATGTCTCAAGCGAAACGGCCCGGACCACCTCTCGCGCGGCGTCCTGGAGCGCAACTTTTCGAGGATGTCTCAGGCGAAACGGCCAATCCCGGCCAACTCAGAAACGAGAGTTGTGAGGATGTCTCAAGCGAAACGGCCTTGACCATCAAATTTTTGTGAGGATGTCTCTGCTCCGACCTCCCTCGGCCGGAGTTAGCTTTTATCACAACAGCACCCCGTTCAGCAAGCTGTTTGGGGAACAAGGGCACCAACGGCAAGGGCAAGGGCAGCTTCCCCCAGCCGTGCGTCGACCACACCGAGGACAGCGACATCTCGCAGAAGGGCAAGCACAAAAACGAGAAAGACCAGAAGGGAAGAAGCAACAGCCCCAACAGGAAGGAGACGCCCCTTGTCAAGAAAAAGTCAGCGCGAGGCTAACCATGACTGCAACGACTGCCTCACAAAGACCATCAACTTCGTCATGCCCACGCGCAAGGTTCAGGCTGCCAGAAGGCCCGATGAGAAGACACCACCAATCGCTCTGGAGTGCAACGAGGATCGGAATAATATCAAGATCACAAACCAATGGGAAGCAGCCGCGGCCATCATCAAGAACAGCGCAGCTGGGCTCCAGACTACCGACGCAAAGACCCACACCGCCTTCATCAAGGCCATCAGCACCGTTCCGCTCGCCCATCAAACCAGGAAGATCGAACGCACCAAGGAGGTCATGGAGGACCACTTCGGGTACGGTGGAGGTCTACGTGGCAACCTTGGAGGAGAAAATCGCCGAGCTCTACGCCGTCAGTAGGGGCATCAATTTCGCCAGTGACGACGCCTACAACGACACAGGGGCCGCCGCTGACGAGGCGGAGCCATCCTACAGGGAAGGCCAACCGAGGAGGGCCGCAGCACCAGCTCCTGGGAGACAGACGAGGGCTGGGGATTTGGCAGAGGCAGGACTCGGGGGCGGAAAAGAGGGGGGTGATGACTAGGGGGGGTGGATATCATGGCAGGGGCCATGATATTTCCACAGATTTCATGGCGCCTCTTCTTCTTTCATTACGTCCCTGGCCCCCCCGCTGGGCCGCGCACATGCCGCCGGTCATGATTTGCACCCCCCCCCTCTTGGGCACCCCCCTCTTGGCCGCTCCCGAAGGACATCGGCGCACTCCTGAAAGCACTGAAGGGAGACAACCAGCGCCTCGTTTACGTGGTTAGGAATAATAAGGAGGAGGCCAAGGATAAGGTAGACAACCCCAACAAGCCCAACAATGAGCTGGAAACCGCAGGGGAAGAAACGGCATCCAAACTACACGAGCTATGACAGCACCTACGAGGCGTCGGGGCCAACGTCGAAAGCCAGCGGAAGAAGCAGAGGCACACCACTAACGAAGCCGACCGAGCCCATCAG